AGCTTGATGTCATTCTGAATAGGCATTTCAATTATTTGAATCAGGTGTGTTGATACAAAGAAACTGCTAATGCATGCAGGACAGTGGACCACAAGGACCAGGGTTTGGGACCTCTGATGTAGACGAATGACCAAAATGCAACAGCATTGTTCTGATTTTACTGTATATTAAAAACACTGTTGTATAAACATTGAAGTTCATGCTCAATAATCCAGGTAAAAAAATCCAACAATATTAAGTCCGGTCCTCTGGACAGTTTATTTTTGTTGAAACGTTTCATCTTTCATCCAGAAGACTTTATCAGTTTGAGGAGCCACAACAAACTCAGTCATAAAAGCACCTTTACATAGTGGGTCAACCAGTTTGATGGCGCTAAGATGGTTTCTGGAGTCTGCCCTCTTCCCCGTCAGCTCATCTGAGGCAAAGTGGTTCAAAAGTTTTGTGTAAACTGGGTAGAACTTCCACAACCGTCTACTCACCTAAGCCGTTTATCATCACATCCTCAAGCTACAACGTCTGCTTACCCATTGACCATTTCGGTTGTGTCACTGCTTCCTTTGATCCCTCAAAGGCAGAACAGTGGCAGGGTTGACCTCAACCCCCCGTCCCCCCATACTGCATTGGTTCTTGCATAAATCACAATAAGATGGGAAGAAGGCATCTCAGACTCAGCTTGAAAGTCCTTTTGTTTTAGGGCTTTTAACTTAAAGTCATACAAACTGAGCTACAAGATGAGAGAACTGTTGTCCATAACAATGCTATTTACCTTTTCAGTTATCACAGTTTGAGGAAATAAGATGTTTTGATCTCGAATCAACCTCATTGTTTTTGTCCTACACCAGTTAAACGGCGGAAGTCAGCGAGCCGGTCAAAGCTGCTCTGATGTCGAGGTGTGTTCAGGCTCAGACATACAGGGGAAAAGCCCCACTTCCATTTGAAAGCCACAAACCTTCCCATGCCACACCCAAAGGTTGCACCCCCAGCACCCTCAGGCTGGAGTAACATAAAGATGGTAACATCTGGCTCCAAATCAGCAGTACAATGGTGTGTGCAGACACTTGGTCTCATGCTTTCATGTTACTGCCCATTCATAATGCATTGGTGCATTCCAAAGATGGCTCAGCAACACTGCCTCATAACTGAATGGTGGTTCCACATATTTTTTTCTTCATTCAACCTTTATTTATACAGGTTAGTCTCTGTAAAGACAAACAGGATGCTGTTCTCCGTTTCATGTTTTTCTTTGTTTAGTAGGACAATAAAAGTGATGAGAGAACATTCCGCACCTTGCAAGACTCGCCCTGATGCTTTCATTGACCCCAAACCAGCTGTTGTTTTCTGAACCTGAATGCTAAAGTAGAAAGAACAATAATTGCATTTATAAAAGAAAAAAGTTTCCAAGAACTCTGAAAACATTCCCAAGATGCCACTCCCAAAGCTTCAACGGATGTTGCTCAGAGTGCAGCAAAATCACCGATCTGTTGTCGCACTGCTGCTGACTGCTTACTCGGATCATTTAAAAAGGTTCCCAGTGTTGTGCTGCTGAGAGCAGGGAGCTGGAAGGGAACGGAGCAGGGAGATCAGAGCCTACATACAGTACATTCTGTTGCTGTGAAGAGGATCCCTGCAACACAACTGAGTAGGGAAAGCGTTTTCTGTCCTTGTCCACTATTCGTTTGGTTAACGGTTATACGTTTGCATAGGGAAAACATTTGAGGAACTGCTCAGTTTTTTCTTTAATCATATTGTTCCTTCTCACTGTTTTTGATTGTAGTGTTAGCATAAAAGGAAACAAGTTCCTGCATCCTTGATTCATTGCCCGAGGATGCAAATGGTTTAACACTTTGCGTGAATGTCTGATAATGTTGCTGGGAGAAAAGTACCGGTACTCTCTGAACCTGCTGTTTTTTCTCCCTTAAAGGAAGGACAAGTATGTCCCCCCTCAACAATGGCCACACTCGCACAGACACAGAACACGCTAACCTCAGCCCCTTCCCCCCCTTCTTCTCACTGTGCACCCCAAATTCCCCCTCCCCCTTCACAGCAATTGTGTGCATGGATGTCTTCTAGAGGCGCGATTCATACTGCTGTGGCTCCGCGCTGCCGAGCAGCGTTTGACTGCAGTGAGTGACAGGGAAATGTACGCCTTCTTGTTTCGTCACACTCGCACGGAGACCGTCTGCCACCGGCTTGTGCTTGCAGTGAAACTGGTCTTGAAGACAAGAACCTTCTCTCAACCCTGTAAAGCATCTTGGGCTTTTTTTCCCCTCTCTCCGGTGTTTGCCATGATGGATGTGGTGCGTATGGTGAGAGTTTTAGAGGGAGGGAGTCTGACAGGAGCTTGACTGGCAAGTCGAGAGCAGAAGGTGACAGACTGATCGCGTTGTATGGTCATATTTTCTTACCTGTCGTAAAGTGAGTGTTATCAATTGCATGTGGAAAAACCATTTTCAAAGCATTCTTCCATCTCAACCAGCAGGATCTTCTCACCAAGATGATGGTAAGATTTCACGTTGTGCGCATCGTGAGGTGACAGAGAAGAATGTTGACACCTTTTTTTTGTTGTTGTGGCAGAAGAATCAAAGCTGACTGTGCAGTGCAGAAACTCTGCAGCCATGTGCTATTTTTATACAAATCCCATATGCAAACTAAATAATTCAGCATTATGTTAGCTTGCAGGTTTTCATGATGGAGTAACTGGGATTCCTCTGTCAGTATTATATTTTTTTTCTTTGAGAAATTACCCTGAAATTTCAAGTAGCTGAATTGATGCGATTGTTTCAGATTTTTCTTAAACCTCATCATTCATCAGTTTTTTTGTTTTCTATTAATACTAGTCTGGTCTGGGAGCATGACTCCCATGTCGCATCATTTTCATAATTTGTACCAGTCATCAATGTTCCTCCATTGCTGACAACTTAAAGCACAGAATTTTACAACTGAATTAATTGTGCGTGATTTTAAAAAAGCATACTGCAAAAAGAAAACCTCATTAAAGAATGGTGTTGTACAACTAGACAATCACAAGCCGAAGAATTAAATGATCAAGGACACTTGTTACTCATGAATGACCAAAATATACAGACTGCATTGAATAATTGATGATAATTTACCTTTTTTCTAAGGTAGCACATTGATTGACCAGTACAGTGTTGTTTTTTATTAGACTGGGTGTGAAATTGTAGATGTACACCAAAATGGGAGGAATAGGAGTGTCAGCCAGATCACCGGGGTCTACTCAGACCAACAAGGAAACCATACAGAAATGTTTACACAGTTCAGATTTTCCTCCACAATGTCACCAGTAGGTCTTCTCTATTGGTAAACACTTGTTTATGAGCTTTTTGTACAGATTGATTAGTGCTACGCTAGCATACATCTTTTCACATTCTAACCCTTACATCACAGAGCATTGTGCTTTCTGCATTGAGAAGATATTTATTTCAACCACTCACTCATAATGGAAACCACTTCATCTTTTGGTATATTCTAGTGACCTAGTTTATTTTGTACCAACCAGCAGAAAATACCTTGCAGCACAGTCCATGCTCCTCACCATGCACCACATTCAGGATTGTGCTGAAAGTTGCACCCAGCACTTTACGTACAAAGATGATTTCTTTTGCTTTGGCTTCCTGGATAATGCGACATGAACGTCATCACAAATGGCACAAGATGGTTATCATACAAAACAAATGCATGGGTGACTGGTGCTTTGTGCTTCAGCAGAATTGAGTGATTTAGCATTGTAAGAATATATCCTGCAAAACTGGATCTATTGTGTTGATTGAAAATCCTGGTGTTACTGATTTACCCCCCTTGCATGTGATTTATTCATATTTCCTGACTGGCAATGTATCCGATTTACCAATGAAGTACAGAAAAATGATATCTAAATTGATCATTACATTCTTACCGGTAGATATGTACAGCTTGTTAAGCGTTTTTAATATGAAGATGAAAAATTCAATAAAACTCAAAATGACGGATTGAAGAAAACTCATTTGAAAAAGACGGGAGGTCTTGCAGTTTGAAAGATGAACAGCGTATGTCGATAAGAGCAGTTGCCATGGCCTCAAATGGAGACTGGCTGCTGCTGACCTCAGTGCTGATGGCTCTCTTGTGTCTGGCTTTGGGGCTGACTGGTTTGGGTGGGGTCCAGGCCTTACCTTCATCCTTCTGTTCTCCACGTCACTGTTATGTCTGCTTCACTGTGAATTCCTATTTAATGTTCATCTGCTTATATGAGCAAATCCCCCTCTGGCAGGTCACAGTGTATGTTATGCCAGTGTTTAACACTAAACAGGGTATAATCTATGAATCTAATGTGCTGCTGTCATAATCTTTTAAAGGCAGACGTGCTGAAGTGGTCATGTCAGGTTTGGAGTTTGCTCATCTGAATTTGTGCTTGTTACAATTTCAGAATCTAAATGATGTGGATGAAGTCATTCTGCTGGTTAGGAGGTATTCATTAGTGCAAATTGATAAAACATTCACATTTTGTGCTGAATGACGGTAAACTGACTGGATTCACACGGTCTCCTCGTTAGCCAAAGGATTTCTTGGTGCCCTCTGTTTATGATAGCGGACTAGCTGGTGGGCTGTATTGGTAACTATGGTGACGGTATCCTTCAGAAAAAAGACTGGTTTGTAAAGAAGCAATGCAAGTCTGCAGAGAGGGACACAATACCAGCCCGAACGGTGATTTGCTCTGTTATTTTGCTTGGTTTTATTTCTCTTTCTTGGACACACCTGCAAAAGCTGTCATAAAACAAACTTTTAGGTTTTTCATAGCGGTTTGGAGTTTCTGGACCTACATAAACATGAAAACAAAATTAAGTTAATCTTAATTAACAAAACAAAAACAAAACTTTCCTAATGTTTTTAGGTACTAAACCTTAATTAGGAAGCAAACAATGTTGTTTTCCATGGCTTGTGCTTATCTTGGATTTAAACAAGACTAGTCTAAAATAATGATTTTTGTTTTGCATGTCTTACAGATCTGTCTTGGTGCTGGATTTCTCCCTCAGCCATTTCTGAATCTGGGAAGAATATCTTAAGAAGATTTAATGAATCAATATTTGCCAACCACTGCTATGACTGACAAGTAAGTTTTTTTTGTTTTTTTTTCCAACAGCTGTGTTTGTACCAACTCTAAAGGATGTTAAGAGGATACAATCTGTGGTTGCACGTCTGCTCTGCACAACATTGCTTTCTGCTGTTTGTACGAGCGTGTTCAAGTGCAGATCTGTTGGCGAAACAGGGGTTCAGATTGCACAGAGAGAAGTGTGTTGTGGTGGGGGGTTGGTATAAAGACAAGACGGTCTGTGTTGCCTCAGAAGACATATGACATTTGCATCAGGGCTGATTTGCATTCTTGGTAACTCTGCTGGTATGTTGTCACTGCGTTTAGCTGCTCTTTATTTCTCTGACAAACACAGTTAGTGGATTTTATTCCCCTTTTCTCTCACTTTTTGCATTCGTGTGGGTTCTTCTCCATTTTCTTTTCATTTTGACCTAAATTTTCATCTCTTCTCTCGTTTCTTTTGTCTTTGTATCTGAGCCCTGTGTGTTTTTTTTTTAACTTTGATGTATTAATGACAGAAAACTTGGGTGCATGAAGCAAAATAATCTGATGCTAGTGCTCACATTAAGTGGAAGCCAGGGTGGAGGTCAGTCAGCTAAAAGAGCCAGGACTATTGCGGTTAAAAAAAAAGAACTATGACGAGGTCTGATCTGAATAAAATCCCAGGGGAAGGTGGTTTGTACTGATACAGATAGACAGAAAATGTTTAAATACTCAAATTGCAGTTTACAAGATGCTATAGAACAAATTGCCTTGTTATCCAAGGTTTGTGTGCACTTGGTGAATCTCTTCACGTATGCACCTGTTCACCCTTCTGAGAGCATAAGAGTTGAGGGGTTGGGAAGGGCTCTGTTCAATCACTCTCTATGAAACGGGCCTTAAGGGCCAAGGCAGTATCTCGCTATGTTGCACCAAACTGCAAACGGCAGTTTCCAATGTGTTACACATCCATGCCGCATGATTTTTGAGCAAGTTTGTGAAACTTTCAGAAGCATTTTAAATGGTCACAGTTATTGTGGGTTTCTCTAATCATTATCAGCGTCTTCTCACATTAGTTTCTGCAAGTCAAAAATGCAAGCAATTTAAAAAAAGAATTGTACGAGAAGGCAGCGATTTTATCACGTCCATTTGGAGACAAAAATTAGAATATCTTACATGTCACCAGGCCATTTAAAAACATCTGGCTGAATAGAGGGCCCAGTGGTGTAGTCTACATTTTTGTAGTGGGTATGCTGTGCTTAGAAACATATTGAACATTTCCAAATTTCTCTGATGCTTATATTTGAATAAATGTACAACAAACTTTGTACAACAGTTGTGTTGTTGTATTAAAAACATGTTATAGATTTTATAAAGTGGTATCAAAGCAAAACATGCTCAAGCATTAAGTAGTAAGTACAGAATTATACAATAATTCGCTGGTTAAGCGAATGTAATAAACAAGCGCTGCATACAGAGATTGTTACGGAAGCATTTAACTGCCGTTTAACATCAATGACACGTGCCTAATATGTCATTTATCATTCTGCACTTTTTTGTATACTGAAATTCTTAAGTTTTTCTAGTAGGTATACTTCGTATACACACGTATCACGTAGTCTACACCACTGAGAGGGCCTCATATTTATACGGTCCCTATTCTCAATTGTTCCACATAATGTTGCCCCACCATGGCGTCATTCAGTATTTGGATGAAAAGCGGTTTTGGTATGCAACCTTTGCAGGACATTTTTGAGGCATTCACCCAACAAAATAACGAGTTCCTGGCAGTTTGACCTGAATCACACATGGAGTTTGAGTGATGTTGGAGAGATGTGCACAAACATGTCATAAGTACACATTCACCGAGACCACAACTGAAATTTGCCACATTTTATTGCAATTATTATGCAGTTTTAGTCTCAGACTACTTTACATGATCAGCTTTAGTTTTAGCTAACACTTGCACACTGTAATGTTTTGGACAGTTAATGCTGGGATTGCCCAGAAGTGAAGATTTGTTTCAAATTAAAAGGCTTTGCCACATGAACTTTGCCTTTCAGGGTTAAACTTTTTATTTTCTTCAAAAGATAGATAATTAATAAATGAATAATCAAAACCTAAAATGGGGAAAAAAATTGAGTTGTTTTCTTTTAGCTTGTTTTCAATCTCTTAGTTTATTAAAATGGAATTTGGGAGTTATTTAGTAAGAGATGATGTTGATTATCTGCCTAACTGGATGAAAGGTATCCGAGCAACAAGAAACCGGTGTTATTGTATGTAGGATGATTGTTTGTCTGGGAAGATGATAAATGTGTTAAAAGGAAGTGAGAAGAGTTTGAGGACGTCCCCCCTTTTTGACCAACACAGACTTTGGACAAAGCCTTCCTCTACATAGAACTACTTAGGATCCATTCAAAGGCAGAGGAAGATTGCTACTTATTTTCTCTTCAACACACACAAATGCTCCAACCCCTTTTTTTTTCTGTCTCACTCTTGAGCAAACATTTACACTTATCAGTGAACATTCCTGCAGATATGTGCATTGCACTCAGTATTCTCAGATACAAGCAGGCATGCGTTTTCCATTTCGTGTATAATTTGAATATTTTCTTTTGATAAGAGCCTTGCATACTTATTTTCCATGCAGATGTTGGTAAGGAACTTTACTTCTGCAAATGTTCTCGTGCTTCTTTGGAAAATAAACATGTTTCTAGCAGCAGGATTTGGAGTTCGGCCTCCCTATTGTGCGCGAATGCTCTATGATGAGGAAAGTTTCTAAAGCCAGATTTGCTCCGTGGCGCTTGTAGACAGGGATTTTTTCTGTTTAAATTCAAGCCTGAATAATCCTGTTCAACACACCGCTTTGTGTGCGCATGTGTCACCAGTGTCCATTTGTTCTCAGTGCAGGATTTACAACAAGAATTTCACCTTTTTTTTTTTGGTCTCTAAAAATTGAACTTGCAACCACTGTAATACTGCACCAAAAAGACAACCTCATGTCCTAAACACGCTCAAATAGAACCATAGAAAACTTCGCAATGCAAGTAGAGATGGAGCTAAATGGATAAACCTTTTTGTTGAGAATATCAGATCAACACCACAAAACCAAAGACGGAAAGGAAAATGTACTCTTTAATTTCTCAAATTAAGTTGTGGTTTCTTCTTTTTCTAAATAATCTAATTATTTCTCATTCATTTGTCCCTTTTTGTTCTTTTCATTTACAACTAAATGAAACCCTGTTTGTTTTATGCCTTAGTTTAAAATGTGCTTTACTGCACCTGTGGTAGAGTTCACTCTCAGCTTTGTCAGGGACTTGGTATGTTTTGGGATTCACTGTGTGTGGGGTGGGGGGTGTAAGGCTTGTGGGTCTTTACTGGAATAACACCACTATAAGGATATGAGTACTTTTCCCAGCCTGCCTTGTTTTAATAAGTCTGTTTTGCCTATCTGTATCAGTCAAGGTCATGCATGTGCGTACACGTGGGTTTTAGCTGAGGGAGAATAGAGGTTACTTAAAGGCTAGCTGTTCAGTTGGTTTGTTGGGAGATAACTACTTTTATTGCTCACTGTCAAAGGTGAAGCTGCATTTTTAATTTTGCCCATGTGCGTTTTGCTTCTCTGTACTGTTAGAAAAGAGCTCGTACACCACAAGGTGGATTTTCTTGAAACTTTCACAAAGAAATCATTAGACGTACATCTACAACTGGGAGTCAGTCCAATTCTAAAAGGCTGCCACAGCAAAAGCAGCCTTAACAAGCAACTATTGCTATACCTCAGCCAATTCAACGAATATGATACGAAAATGAGTCCTCGAGGCTCAATGGGATTTACCTGTATAAATAAAGGTTGATTGATTCAACGAATATTGAGCTAAAATTTGGAATGGTGGTAGCTGAGAGTCACTCCAACACATCTCACAAGATCTTATATTATCACGAGACCGTGCATAACATTTAGCACAAATGGCTATATCGCTGTCCCTTTTTATCATAAGATGATTTTTGTTTAAATCTCTGGAATGAAAACTGACAAGTAATATGCATCCCTTCATTGAATTCTATGCTTTTAATTTATAAATGTCTTCAAAACTAATTATAACTCTTCCATCCTAAAATGATTGATTGCAGATCAATTGCAGATTGATTGCAGTATTTGTGCCAATAGTTCCTCATCCTTGGTGTGAAACTAATCCGACATTCGTCACTTGCAAATGGCAATAACATGAACCTTAGTTGACACTTTTCGATCTTAAAACACTGTAAAGATATTTAATGACTTTCTGAAACTGTCTAATTTTTAGTTTTGTAGGTGAATTGATTTATTTTTTCGTTTCCTTTCTGAAAAGCAGAAGTGGTTTTTAGTCTTTTGTGCTGTCATTAGCTATGTTTACATGCACACAATTCTTTGATCTGATTGAAACGTATTCAGATTAAATAATCCAAATGTATCGTTTACATGCAGTGGGCTTTTATTCAGAACAGAAGTACTGACGTGCAGAGTGGAAAACTTTCCTTAAAAAAAAACACAGAAGAGGTGTGAACAGATCAAGTGTTTACATGCACACCGTTCAGATTATGAATCGGCATAAACTACCCCTCTCATTCGGATTACAAATTCATTCGGATCGAGCTGAATCAACAAAGAATAATCAAAATGAGGCGTTTACATGATACATTTTTATTCTGAATGGCCGTTTAATCCGATTTACTTATGTCCATGTAAACATAGCTACTGACATGGATCTAAAAAATCTACTTGGTGAATTTCCAGTTTTCCTGTGCATACAATGCACTTGAAGGTATTCTGGCGTAGCGTGCTGGCTAAAGTTGACGCTGAGATATATTTTTTTTTTGTCAGAATTGGAAAAAAAAAATCATGTCACTGTGGGCGAGTTTGGTAACACTTCCCATTAGCATGTTTACTGTTGGCTCAGTTTTTCAAGTGCAGCCATTAACACGTTTGTTCTGGTGTTGAAGACTTTTCTAAAGCTTTGCCTCATTCATGTCCACTCATCAGTTAAAAACCCCAGACCCATGACATTTCCATTTCCTCTCCATCACCTCTGCAGACCTCTGTGTCACAAAGGGCGTGGTTTGGGGTACTACTTGTCCTTGTCACCACCTCAACACATCCTGAATTGAGACATATGAAGGCATGATGTCATTGAGATTCGCGACTGCATTGTGAAACCTCTATATCGGCCGTCACTAACTTCTGTGGGAGTCGAGGAAAGTCGGTTCAAAGTGTTTCCTGGGGACGTCGCGGGGGGTGTGCCCTTTGACCTACGAGTCATCAATCTTTTGGCTCTGACATGTACTCCCACCTCTCCATAGATGCCATCTGAGGATGACGAGGAGCAGAGATTTGATTCATTGTTTATTTATGCTTATCTGCCCATATGTGTTTGTTAGTATTTGCTTGTCGGAGTGACAAAAAAAAACCAACTGGAAAGTGGAAGAGCAAAATCAGTGAGACACTTTGTACAGAGCAGAACTGAAGGTAGTACAGTGATTAAATATGAAGCTTGACCTTGATGTTTTTTCAATAATTGTCATCTTGGGACTAAAGTTTTCATTATTTTTAAACGTGTATAGCACCAAGTCACACCAGAAGTCATCTCAGGGCACTGAACAGAAACATTTATATATATAAACTCTAAGTTAACACTATCTGAGGAGCAGACTGCTTTGAATTTAACTCCATCTCAAAACTCTCATCTTGAGCAAGCACGAAGGCGACGGTGGAAAGGAAAAACTCCAGCTTCAAGTTTGCTTCCCAGTGGAAGTGAAACGCTGCATCAAGTTTAATCGTCGAAAGCCTCACGTATACAAACGTATCACAGCAACCTTGTGATCACTGCTTTCATGACTGTCAATCATAGGAGCACATTCACCACAAAACGATCAAGTCAGTGAAATTTTCATGTTGGTAGTTTGTTGTCTATAATCACAGCTTAACATAATCTGATTATTCCTTTATACAGCAAAGCTTACTCTACCAAACACTAATGAATTTGCATATTTGGGCTGATTTGGGTGACCTGAATTCATTTGTGTGGAATCTAAATGGCTGTTGCGACACAATTTTTTTATGCCGGTTACATCCATCCTAGTTTGGCTTTTGTTGCCTATTTTAAGAAAAATCTTAATTTGCATGGGTTTTTATACTCATGCACAGACTGAATATAACGAAAGTCATGTGTTGGAATGTAAAGAAATGTGAGAATAAAATAATTTGTGCAGGAAGAATGTTTTCAGCATTGCTGTGAGGGTTTTCTTTTTGCTCAGGAAGGCATTGGAAAGAAACAGACTGGAAAATGTGAATGGATGCCCAACCATCTGGAGCGATGGTTTTAGGATTTCTCTTTTCTTCGTCAACTTTGTGTGTGTGTGTGTGTGTGTGTGTGTGTGTGTGTGTGTGGCGGGGGGTCGCTATGCCTAAAAGTTGTTTATTCCTAATGTGTAAAATTATTTTGTGGTTGCTTTGACAATTTGGCTGACCAGTGTTAGTTGCCTAGTCTTTTCAATCAACATTAAACATACAGGAAGTGCAGTGGTCACACACTTTAAGTTACCAGGATTGTCATTACACAAGACGGATTGTCTAAAAATGAATCAACAGTGTCTTGATAAAAATAGTGATTTAAGTGGCTTAGTAGTTAAACATGTATAAATCACTTTATAGTGTGTGTTTTGTATGGTTTAATCAATCATTCTTCCCACAGCCAGTGGCAGTTTTTGTGTATAACTTGTGTTTTTTCAATGATTCATCGTGTTTTAACCACTGTTTGACAACTAACTTCATATGTAACCTTCTTCCTCTTGTAGGCACACACTCTGACACCACATAACTTTCTTGTCTTATCTGTTTGTCTTCTCCTCCCTCCCTAGCCTGAGGATATTGTAATTCTCTCCAGAGGAAGAGCGTCGCATCTTTTAGGAGCCACAGGTCAGAAACTCAACTCCTCTCCCTACTCCCTGTTTGCTGTGCAGACCGATACTCGGCCGCTTAGGGGCCTGCAAGCTTCAACACGAGCCCTGCATGCTTATCTCGCGTATGCTTTGTTTGTGTTTTACCCCCTTCCCTTGCATGACCACGCCTGGCCAACACAACTCTTATTGTGATTTTTCTAGTGATTCCTTTCTTCTTTCACCAATCATTCCCTGTTCTGCTCATTTTTGATTTGGTGCTTCTTTCCACTTCACTTGTAACAAATGTTTCTGTTTGCCTTGAAGTAACTGTAATGGCTGTGCATCTAATGGTGTTTTTGAATGAAAGAAAAAATACACGTTGAACACATGCATAGATGCCTTCCAGAGAGGTTTTGGACAACTAACTTTGCTCTTTGGCATTGCTTTTAAATTGCTCTTCAAACGGTGATTGTTCAAAGCTTAGCAACTGTAACCATGCACAAAAGGTCTGTCAAGCTTTTTCTCCTAATTCAATGTGCAAATTGCTGCAAGAGCAACAAAATCTGGTATTCTGAGTTTTGGAACATACCTGTAGCCCTTCGGAAACTAAAACTGTTAAGTGTGACCAGATGGGGGGGGGGGGGGGGGGGGGAAAGTAGTTTGTACCAACTAATTAGAACTGCAAAGATTAGGAAGTTCAGGTTATCAACTTTGTCAAACTAATGTGTGTGTTATGTCATTTTCTTGTGTTGCATCACAAGAAAAGCCTGATTAACAGATTCAAAAAGCTGTTTAGTGCCACATGAAGGGCTAATAAGAAGCCAACTAAATGTTTTATATGAGAAAGTGATCAAAACATATCTTACAGGTTTTTAAGTAGTTTAAAATCAATGCAGAAAGTCAGCTTTCATTGCAATTTAATGTAAATTATATGCCATAGGTGTTTTCTGCTTTCAAAAGAGTATGCCCCCCCCCCACCCCGAACAATTATAAGCTTAACAGGATGCATTTCCCATCCAGATCCAGTGTCAGCTGTTGAGTCCTGCTCTTAAACTCTGAACCACTCGATCATTTAAAGGCCTTCAAAGGTTTTCCGTCTGTTTTGTTGAAAGTTACTTCTGCTTTCTGGATCTAATGGTTCTTTCTGTTCTCTTGCACCGTTTCATAAACGGACCGTGATCTCTTTCTGTCTCTGACTGGTCGCACATCTCACTGATGTTGATGAAAAATCCATCTGTTAAATTATGGATTGGTAGCGCCGGTTCAGCCCTGCTTTCTGCTGTGATTGCGGCTTTATTCGTGGATTATGCCTCCGTCAACATACCTGTGTGGAGACACTTTCGGTGAGAGGCAGGCTGATGAATCAGACAGAAAGTAGCAAAGTTAAAACGTTCAATATTTTGTAAAGAAATGCATATAATTAATTTTTCAACCATAAATTTTGTTTATTAGTTAGCTATTGTATATGTAGTTACAACTCGCAAATTAAAGGAACCAAACTTTTGGTTTCTCCTCTGGGAACTCGACCACTCTGCGTTTGTGGAAAGAATGGTTTTCTCCCAGCATTATATTCAACTGTATGCAGTTTGTGCTGCGCAAGAATGAGTGATTGACCCAATTCTGCTGGCCAGATCACAAGAATTTGGTGTGATAGGTGTTTAAAGTTTAAGACTTTGCTTTGTATTGTTTATCCCTCTAAAGAAACTGTGAAATGAGTGTGCTGTGTACTTGTATGCAAAGTTCAGGAGGACACACTGTTGGTGTTGTTGCTGCCTCTGGGTGATGGGTTGAGTTTTCAGACGACACTCCAAAGGAGGTTTGTGTGTCTGCATCCAAAATTACCACCGTGAAATCAGTGCCTGCTGAAGACTGCCTTGAAAGAAAAGCAGAAGAGAAAGGAGTCCTGTTGAAAGGGTTTGGAAAAATACAGCAGACTTGTCGTGATGGTTACAGCTCCCTCAAATGTTTCCTGACTGGTGGGAAAGCCTCGACGCTGTCATTTGAAAGACGGTTTTATTTTTCATATTTGTCTACTTCTAAGCCAGAAATGTAAAAACAAAGCTCGCAGTCATGTCAGTGCTCGGTCAATTTAAAACCCAGACATTTTCCTTTCTGGGAGCTGAAGTCACCTGCACTTGGCTGGTGCTGTTAAAAAAATAAAAAAACTACCATCAACGCGACTACCATTCCCCTGCTTGAAACCACAAGCCCTTCAGCTGGGCTTTCACTGCTTCCAAAAATAGTCCCACTTTATACACCCCAAGGCCAAGCTGGCATCTCACTAGTCTTGATGAAAAAACACATCAAGGCAAACGTTTTTGGCTTTTCTGTGATGAGTGGTTTTCATATGACCCCAGATTATATTGTAAATTATTAATATTCCCTGAGAAAAACGTGTCTACTCAGTTGTGTCTCGTGTTAGTTTCCTAATAACAGCACTGCTTCCCACTGGATGGTTTAAAGTTGTTTTTATTCGTATTTGGTCATATTAGCATTTTATAACTTAGTAAAACTGTAGTTATCTATAAAAAAAGCTGTATTGATGATCAACTGAAGGTCAGCAGGCCATAGCTGGTCTAGAAGCTCATACCATTAGGCCTGCAAGTATTAAGTTATTAATAAATCAATTGCAGTCTGACTAGAGGTTAACAGATAGTTTTTTCTGTGGCTGATCTTTAGAAATCAGAGCAGCTAATGGTTGATATACAGTATCAATAAAAAAACAAACATTTGGCTATATTTTCACTTAAACAAATGTAATTGCTTAACTTAATAAAAGCATATTTAACAACCCTTAGAAGAGCTTTGATCTTTAAACAGTACATATGAAAAAGGATTCTCACTAAAAAATCTTAATTGTAGTCTATAGGGAGCTGATTATAGCAGCTGCTGCTGCTTCAGTTTTGTTTTGACAATTGGTTAAATATGCACATATTAAATATTGCTGACTGTTGAAACATACAGTGATGACATTGTGATGACATTATTATTATTATTATTATTTACAAAGTAATTTTTTTGCATACTAAATCAGTCGGCTGATTAATTAATTTACCTGACAGACTTTGGTTGCTTAGAGCATAAAATCAAGTCTGACTTGAAAAGTGGCACATGGTCACAAGAAAACATGCTACAGAGCATCATATTTCCTGGCATAGCCTTTATCAATATTTTAATTATATTTTTCCTACCTTTTTTTTTTACAATTTGTCCTGTATCCCACAGGTAAATTCACAAGTAAAACTTCTCAATCAGAAAAGAATAGTGGAACATGGTCTAACCCCCTAGCGAAACAAAACAACACGACAAATGTCATTTATTTATAGTAACAGTAATTGACATTAATGAAACAGAGCAGTCATAATTACTACAAAGATGACTAATCATCAAAGCTGGCCCCCCATGATGGTATATTTGGGAAAAATTATGTCCCTTGAACACATTTTGTGGGTGATTTAGGCCCATTAGTGTTTTTTCAATGTTTTATTGTGGCAAATCAATATGGGTGAAAACATTTGTAATGCAGTAGTTTCCTTGCCAGGCAAGGATGTCCTAGGAAATGTTGAACTTTTGTACTGATGCTTTTAAAATTGTCTTTTGACCTGAACTATTGTATGTGCTGAGTGAGGTTGCTTTTTTTGGAGGTGAAGGTTGTAAGATGAGGTGCGTGTTGCACATGTACACAATAAAAAAATGGAGGCTTAACCCTAAAACTATCTTGTTAAAAGGTGATTATTGTATTTCTGGCACTAATGATTTGGTTTTCAATGAGACGTGAATGCAGTCTTGGGCAGGTAAACCATTACATCCAAAATGGTGAATACAGTATCCTTCGTTTGGATTGAGGATGAGGTTTGGTTGCTCCTACATATTGAAAAAGGTGAGTAGAATAAACAGCATCCTGCAGTCCGCCATTCTTGTTACTGTTGTTCATTTATTCGCTCAAACTCAGAAAATCAATTTACTGTAGCCTTTGGCCGTGCTTGCATGCAATTTCACACCTTTCCTAAGGGGGTTTCCCAAAAATCTCCACTCTGAGACCTGGATACAAAAGCGTTTTGTTTCAGAGAAAACAACTGTTCAAGGTTTGGTTGGTGCGCACTGCGCAATATGTGAGCAGCGTGAACACGAGGGGCTCAACACACAGCCCTGTGGGGAGCCAGTGCTGAGGGTTATGGTGGAGGAGGAGAAGTTGTGGATCCTCACAGACTGCAGTCTACTGGTTAAGAAATCCAGGACCCACTTGCATAGGGAGGGGCTTAGTCCTAGTGTGAGTAGTTTATCCATCAGGGTCTGGGCAATCATGGTGTTGAAGGCAGACATGAAGTCCACAAAGGGCACATGGACGTAGGAGTCCTTTTTTGCTTGTGCAAGAACGGCCACACTGCTGCAGAAAATCTATGATTTCACTCAAAATCAGTGCTGATTGTGTAAACTGGCACTTCCAGTGAAGTCTGCAAATCTTTAAGCATGAAAGAAAACACATTATTGGGTTTGGGGAAAATTGCTTTTCCAGGTGATCTCTTAAACTTGTTTACATTCAGATGTCAATAGTAAAACTTTCCCACTTTTGTCATCCTTTTAATTAAAAGAAAAAGAGCCTAGTGATTATGTTTTCATATGGAGCAACAGAGGCACACTCACTAAGCCGGGGAACACCACACAGTAATCCCCTAGTTAGCTTACTTCATTTGTTTTTTATGTTTATAGGGAAGTTTTTCAGATCCTCCGTGCGGCTCGGTGAAAGGGTGTGTTGTTTTTAAAAAGCTTGCCATCGGCAGACTAAATATACCCTTTACTACAGCTGACCCCTCATTTGGCTTTGCTGTGGCCACTTTATGTCTACATGCTTGCTCAACAGGGACCCTATGATTAGTAATTATATAGGAGGGTTTCCATTTTTTATTCCCTATATAGTGTTACCTTCACACAAGCTTTCTTCCTCCATTTCACCATCCAGAGCATCACGGATGCTTTACGTATAGGATCATTCTTTAGTTTCC